GGACTCAGGGGGGCCCAAAAAACACCACTCTGTTCATGCCCCAGGGTGCTGGGTTATACATTTGGGTTTTGTGGGTTAAAACCAATTGTTTGTCTGTATAATCGTACTTATTGTATTATTTTATTAAATTGTTATTCTGACTCATAATCTCTCTTTTGAGTTGAGTTCATTTTCCCCTGCTGGTTTACCTTTAAACCAGCACATTTTTGGCGCCCAGCGTGGGGCAGAGAGAGAGAAGTCAGAATCACAATTTCATTTTAAGTATTTGTCTATTTGGATACAGAAACTCCCTGATCACCATGTTGTTTGATGCATTCACGTGGATGTTGTATCTGAGCCTGTTCATATTTCCACAGATGGGGAACTATTTGCCTGTTTTGATGCTCTCTTTGAGACCAGGGAGAGGGTCCCAAATTGCTTTATTAGTATACTATGTTTATGTCATCATAATATCAGAAGCAATGAGTTTCATTGCAAATGTGTATTCAGTCTTGTTTACCTGTCCTGGTTTGGGTCGCTATCTCTGGGGTCTCATTAAAAATCGCACCCAGTCCTTTGGGGCAACAGGGGGGAATGGTTGTTTCCAGCCTCTCACCTCCTTCTTCCCCTTCAGACCTGCTACAACAGTTTTTGAAAATATTGAGTTCCCTTTTGATGTTAAGGACAGCATAATGTTATTGTTAGTGTTGCTTTGTCTGCTCTGTACTGTCTACACCATGTTTAGGGTCAGAACAGGGCCTTCTAGGGAGGTTGTTTGGACGCCTGCCCTGGGAGTGGATAATGCTGAGTGGCACGGGAAGTGGGAGGACATCGGCCAGTATTTGGAGAAGTTTTCTCCTCCAATGATCTGGAAATTCACCCCTGAACAACTGCAGGATCCTGTTAGCATGATAAGACTGGTGAAGGGAAAATGCTCTGGCAGCTCCAGAGATGGCCAGCTCACAGCAACCTGCTGGGCCCTGGCCACTGCCTACCGGACACTACTTGACATGGTACAGCACTGTCAGGGGGAGGAGAGAAGGAGCAAATCCACAGGCACTACGTCCACCCAAACCACAGTTGAATCAGAGGGAGAAAGAAATAAACCAACCGGCACCGTGTCCACACAAACCATCGAGGAGTCAGAAGAACAACCGAAACCAATAGCAGTCGCCCCTGTCCAGAAAAGGAAATCAAAGACTAAATCATTTTGTATAGTGAATGATGACAAAGAGGCAGAACCTTCACATCCACTGGAGGAGACAGAGCCAGAAATAATCACTCGGTCCCTATCCCTGGGTGAGCTACGTGAGTTCTGGAGAGAGTTCACACGACAGGCGAATGAGTCCATTCTGACCTGGCTGCTCCGAATCTGGGATGCCGCAGCTAACGATACAATTCTAGATGGGAGTGAAGCCAGACAACTGGGATCCCTGTCTCGAGATGTAGTCATTGATCAGGGGATTGGAAGGAGGCAGGAAACTCTCAGCCTCTGGCGGCGACTGTTGTCCAGTGTGAGGGAGAGATACCTTTGTAAGGAGGACCTCCACGTACAGCAAGGACAGTGGAACACCATGGAACAAGGTCTCCGGTGCTTAAGAGAATTAGCTGTACTGGAGATAATCTTTTCAGAGGATGAAAGATTCCCTAAAAGTCCAGATGGTGTACAGTGCACATCCCAGATGTGGTAAAAGTTTGCACGGCTCGAGCCAGAAATGTATTCCCGGTACTTAGCAACGCTGCAATGGAGGGAGGGAGAGGACAAGGTGGGTGCGCTGGTTAGTAAACTCAGGATTTATGAAGACACTGTCACTGCCCCATTACGAGCCCACGTCTCATCTGTGGAAACCAAACTGGTTGAACGTGTCCGAATCCTGGAAGAGAAGATTGAAGAGGGACACCAGAAGCTAAGAGAAGAAATTAACAGCTGGGTTATACATTTGGGTTTTGTGGGTTAAACCCAATTGTTTGTCTGTCAGTCTAGCAATTCTTAATCCAGTCATTTTGGCAAGGAAGAGAGCTACTTTCCTAAAGCAGTGGTGTGATGGAAGGTAGACTGGGAAAAGGAAGGTGATAAAGGGAAAGACAAGTACGGTATTCAGAAGACTGCCTGCTTACTGTCAAATGCCAAGAACTCTAACATTAAAAGCTTGAACTATTTTGCCACCCACTTTTGAGTACAAGTAGAAGAGGTAACAGTATAGGTTTCAAGTAATTTTACACAAAAAAAGCAACTAGAATATCTGTTAAGGAATCCACAAAGCCCCTGGCAAGTTACTACATCTCCGGTATATTAATGATTTTAGTGTTCTGAAAATACTATAAGTATCAGCACACCATATTATGACAAATCTTTTCAAGGACTTTAAACAGTTTTTGCATGTTCCAATGAAGTGCTACTGTACACTGAAATTTCAGTACTACTGCAATCCTTTCTCTCTTTCACCCTACCCCCATAACTTTTTTCATTCCCTACCTCAGAGGTATCAATGCTCCCCATTGAAAATTACACCTTCAGATTCTGTTATTTCAGGGATTCTTAGCACTTCCTTGGCAGGTCTTGGGATCTGCTAAGAAGGGGAAAAAACAAAACCAAAAAGCATTAAATATGGTTTTTTAGTTCACAAACATTCATACTTCATTGCTAGTTCAACTCTCAAACAACATTCACACTACACTGGATGGTTTGATCTTGGGTCATTTAAATCAGTCATGCTTCACGCAAAAGAATTATGTGAAGAGAGTCACTTTGTTCTTGTTTTATTCTTGTGCAATTTTGTTCTTGTTATGAGGAAATGTATTTTATAAAATACCATGCTCATTTTTTTACTTCTGACTTGTATTTAGCAAAGTACTTGATATAACTTGTTAAACCACTTCCTCATTTAACATACATGCATGTGCTAAGAAACACATATAAACTGTTCTACCATTTATATCAAACTAAAAAGACTGCTGGATGCTCACCTCATGAACACCACCTGGGTGGACAACTTCAACTACTGCCTCCAGAGGTCCATCACACATGAGTGGGTGCCGTGCGTAAGTTCTTCTGTGTTTTTCATCCACACGCACAAGGTACCATGTTCCTTCAAAGAGATCTTCTACTGAACACTGTGGAATATAATTGGCTGTAAAAAAGCCAATAACATACTGTTAGTTGGTTCAGGGAGCGAGTTTTATACAACACAGGCCTTTGCAGTTTGTTGTGGGAAACGACTGGATGGCAGGTCTTGAATTTGAGCAGTTGCAGCTGTGAAGTTGTAAAGAATGTAAACAACTTTCTGGACTTTTTGCAAGGCACCGTGACTTACCTATTGCTAGATCATGATGACGTCGCTATTTTGCAGCCAATCCTGATATATTTATACATGAAGGCACCAATGGTAGATTGACATGAGTATGGTCTGATGTATGTTTACATGAAGGCACCAATAGTAAGCTGACATATATTGTGTGAAGAGTATAAGTATCTGTAACCTGTTGCAATAAAGGGGCCTTGTGCCTTCTGCTGTGTGCCTTTCCATGCTTAATTGCTGTCTGAGCGCATTCTTGTCCGTCGGCAGTTTGGGAGTAGTAAGACAGAAAAACCAAGTCTGCATTTTCATTTCAACCATACTAGGCAAATAAACATAAGCTATAGAAAAGCACTTTACAAGCTAATCCAAAGTAGAAAGAGAATCGTTTAAGTTATGCAAATTAAGCAATGAGTATTTTGTTGTAGGTGGGGACGCCCCCCCCCCCCCCGTGCGGGGGTGCCCCCCCCCGGAAGCCACGCGGCAGCCACAGGGGCACCCCCCCCCACCGGTGGGGGAAAGGAGAGAGGGAGCTTCGCTGGCGTGGCTTTGTGCCCTCGTGAGAGAGGAGAGTGGAAGCCTCCGAGCACACAGAGGTTTGCTGGTCCGGTTGGGGGGGAGGAAGGAAGGGGAAGGGTACTGGGTGGGCCGTGGGGGTCCTTGGACTGGTGGGAGGGCAGGCGGGGCAGTCCTGCATGAAGTGTCGCAGGTAAGCGGTGCGTGGGAAGATACGAGGTAACACGGTGGGGGGAGGATAAAGTTAGGGTGGATAATGGTTTCCTCTGGGGGGTTGGGGGTCTCAGCCGGGTTGGGGCCTTGAGAGGTACTCAAGCCCTAGGTGGGTACAGAGGCCGGAACGGTTTTGTTCGTTTGTTTTTGGCTCACCTGCGGCTACTGCCCAGGTTCGGTATGTTCTGGATATATTCATTACATTCTGAAAGGGTGGTCAGGACAAATGGTTGTTCCTGGGGATTTCCTTATGATTGAATATAGATAGGTGGCAGAAAAGTAGGAAGTGTAAGACTTGCCCTAATCGTTTTAATAGTAGGAATGTAGCCCATGTAATCCTATGTGGCTGCGAGCTATGCTGGCGATGGTACATGCCTTCGGTAGGGTCGCCCATGCCAGACAGGTCAAAACCATAGGGTCAGATACAATACATCCTTGGGCAGGATGAAATTGTTAGCCTTCTAGCAGTCATCCTAGAAGAACAACTCTAATCCCAAACTGGGGCAGATGGAGCTCACTTAGCCCTGTAAGGTCATCCATCTAAGAGAAGGACACTCTAATCAAACCTATGTCCTGAGGACCTCGCTGCCACCGTCCAAGCTCACTAGGTCCTGGCAGATGAACCTTAGGATTAAAGGGTGGGTCCAGTTCCGGGCATGCTACGTCTTCCCTAAAAAATCCACTGCGCAGGCTCAAATGTTTTACCCACATTCACAAAGCCCTGCAGCGACGGGCGAGGGTCGAAACGGCAGGTGAAAGGTGCACTGGAAGCCGCAGACCCAACCCTGCATGCAGGCGGTTCAGGATATTGGTCATTTGAGACTGACTGGAGATGACAGTCTCTTGGGGCAGCACCCTGAACGACCAAGTAGCCTTTTCAAGGACAGCACTGCTTGCTCCACTCGGAGAGGGGCCTAGAAAAGGCGGTCTAAACAAAGTTCATCTCCACATTTCACCCGGTTGGTTAACTACGGCCAATGGGCATCTTCTACTAATGCAGTCACACTAAGATCAAGAGACAAAGGCATACACCTGCCTCCAAAGGTGTAACCAAACTGACTCTAGCATGCTGGAACATCAGAACCATGTTTGATTCTACGAATAGTGGACGCCCTGAGCGTTGCTCTGCCCTAATCGCCCACAAACTATCACGTCTCAACATTGACATAGCTGTTCTCAGTGAAGTCCGTCTCCACGAGAAAGGCAGCCTTAGAGAACACGGTGCCAGTTACACACTCTTCTGGTCAGGTAAACCCAGAACCAAAAGGCATCTCTCAGGAGTTGGCTTCATGATCAAAAACTCTATTGTTCCTAAACTCGAAAATCTGCCATAAGTTCATTCTGATCGCATTATCTCCCTACGCCTTTCACCACACAACAAGTAACATGTTCTCCTCTTTAGTATATATGCCCCAACTCTCCAAGTTGACCCTGCTGAAAAAGATAAGTTTTACACCAACCTGCGCCGCCTTACCCAAAAGGTTCCTGCAGATGATAAGATCATTATCCTTAGTGATTTCAATGCCAGAGTAGGAAAGAACTTTGAAGCCTGGAAAGGTATATTAGGCAAGCATGGTGTTGGAAACTGCAATGATAATGGTCACCTTCTGCTAGAATTCTGTGTGGAGCAACAGCTCACCATCATTAATACTATCTTTCAACAGAAAAATAGTCTGAAGACAACCTGGATGCATCCTAGATCTAAGCATTGGCATCTCATTGATTATGTCTTGGTGCAACGGAGAGATGTTCGCGATGTCCATCACACCCGCTCGATGCCTACTGCAGAATGCCAAACAGACCATCGGCTTGTGCGCTACAAACTTAACTTTAATCTCAAGTTCAAACCCAAAAGGTGCAGTATCCCAAGGAGGAGACTCCAAGTTAACAATCTCCAATCAGTTGCAGTGAGAGACAGATTCCAGGCAAATCTTCATACTAGGCTCGAAAACCATTCTATAGATTCTATAGATCCCTCCCATGAAACACTCTGGCACCATATTAAAAACAGCATCCAGCAGTCCTCTGAAGAATCCTTAGCGTTCTCCTTCAAGAAGAACAAGGACTGGTTTGATGAAAACAATCAAGAGATCCAGGAATTGTTGAGGAAGAAGAGAACTGCTCATCAAGCACACCGTGCACTGCCTTCCTGTCATGTAAGAAAAGCAGCCTTTCGTCTTGCATGCAGCAAGATCCAACAGAAACTCCGTGACATCCAGAACAAGTGGTGGATCAATCTAGCTGAAAAAACTCAATTATGCGCAGATACAGGTCATCACAGAGGATTCTATGAGGCCCTGAAAACAGCATACAGGCCTATATACCAGGTCCAAAGCCCCCTACTCAGCGCAGATGGTCAAACGCTTCTGACAGCTAAAACCTCCTTTCTGAATCGTTGGTCTGAACACTTTCAGACTCTCTTCAGTACTAGCCGTGTAGTTCAAGACTCAGCAATTCAGTCCATCTCACAACAAGCAGTGAAGAATGAATTGGATATTGCCCCCACTTTGGGAGAAACCCTTAAGGCCATACAGCAGGTGAAAATTGGCAAGGCAGCTGAGGTTGATGGAATTCCACCCGAAGTCTGGAAACATGGGGGCCTTGCACTCCATGTTAAATTTCACGAGTTTGTGGTGCGCTGTTGGGAACTAGGTGAACTACCATCAGACCTCCGTGATGCAGTCATCATCACCTTGTATAAGAAGAAAGGAGATAAATCAGACTGCTCAAATTACCATGGTATTACTCTGCTCTCCATTGCTGGCAAAATCCTGGCAAGAATACTTTTGAACAGACTAATACCCGCTATAGCAGAAGGAATTCTACCTGAAAGCCAATGTGGTTTCAGAGTCAACAGGAGTACCACAGACATGGTATTTGTTCTCAGACAACTGCAAGAGAAGTGTAGGGAACAGAACAAAGGTTTCTATGTAACCTTTGTTGATCTCACCAAGGCTTTCGATACTGTGAGCAGAAAAGGTCTATGGTAGATTTTGGAACGCTTAGGTTGTCCCCCCAAGTTCCTTCAAATGATCATCTCACTCCATGAGGATCAGCGCGGCCAAGTCAGATATGGCGATGCACTTTCTGAGTCCTTTCTAATTACCAATGGTGTGAAACAAGGTTGCGTTCTCGCACCAACTCTATTCACAGTCTTTTTCAGCATGATGCTCCAAAGGGCCACGGCAGACCTCAGTGATCAGGATGGTATCTACATTCGATATTGTACTGATGGAAGCCTATTCAGCCTAAGGCGATTGAAGGTCTTAGGTGATGGAAGGCCTATTCAAGGCCTATTCAAGGTGAAGGAAGTCTTCCATTATTCCCATACCACCACTGGCCAATCAGAGCTCAAATCAGTCCAGCAGTTTAATTACCTAGGTAGCCTCATCTCCTCAGATGGTAAGATTGACGGAGAGATAGACAACAGGTTAGCAAAGGCATATAGGGCTTTCGGAAAACTCCATAAAAGAGTATGCCATAATAAACACTTGAAGAAAAGTACCAAGATCAGTGTTTACAGAGCCATTGTGCTGTCTACTCTTTTATATGGTTCCAAATCATGGGTCATCTACTGCCACCACCTGCATCTGTTAGAACGCTTCCATCAACGCTGTCTCTGTACAATCTTAAACATCCATTGGTCAGATTATGTGACCAATACATCTGTTCTAGAACAAGCAGCAGTCACAGGTATTGAGGTCATGTTGCTGAGAACACAGTTGCGTTGGGCAGGACACGTCTCAAGGATGAAGGACCACCGCCTCCCTAAGATCTTCCTTTATGGTGAACTTGCCACTGGCTGCCGCAAGAGAGGAGCCCCGAAGAAACAATTCAAGGACTCCCTGAAACAATATCTCAGCCTTGGCCATATTGATCAACATAACTGGTCTACTCTGGCCTCAGATTGGGAGGCCTGGAGACACACTATCTATAACGTTGCTGCTTCCTTTGAGAACGCACGCAGGATCACTCTCAAGGAGAAAAGAATGCAGAAAGAACCGTGTCTTGCGGAATACACCACCTAAGGAGTCTTTCTGCTGTGCCTTTTGCAATCAGACATGTCTATCTCGTATTGGCCTTATTAGCCACCAGCATGCTTGTAACAAATGTGGATAGAGTCTTTCCCAAATCTTCGTTCACAAAGCCTAGTCATGATGATTTTGCTGTAGGACTACAAATTATTTATTATGTTCTTACCCAAATTATGTGTTTCCTGTCTGATCTTCATGTTTTCAGCAAAGGGATGAGGTGCAACGCATTTTCTCGAGTCAAGTCTTGTTTTAAGATCAGAAAGGCTAGCAGTTATTTTGTCCAGTGCAGAACCTACAATATAAAACCATCATGTACAGTAGCACCAGTGCTTAGAACCACACACTAGCATGTTAGCATGTCAAGTCCATTCAAAATATTTTGCATTACAGAAGCTAAAGTTTTAGTCCTTTAAAGATATTCCAAATTACTCAAGTAAAACACTCAAAGAATCTGAAGAATATTATTTATTTGCCCAAAGAGAAACTTAAAACATTCCCTGGAGCTGGAACATCTTCAGTTTAACACTACTGTCATTAGGCATATAGGTTACTTATGCTGGTGGGCATAACAAAGCATTTAGAGGTGAGCTGTACAAGGGTGTTAGTTAACATCTCTTCCTTTCACTCACCAGGAGCAGCATCCTGTGTAACTTTGATGGAATACAGTGTAGCAGTAAAACCAGAGCCATATGAGAACACACTAACTCTCTGTCCTGCGAGCTGCTCTGGGGAATACCTGCAAATCAAGCAACAATTGTTTAATGTGAGAATTAAACCAAGGTGCCAATTTTAAATACCTAGAAAGCACAGTTAGCTCAGGAAAAGCAGCCAGCAAAACTTTATTAACTACAATACACATTTAGTGAGTAAAAGGCATAAACGATGACTTGTAAAAATAGGATTTCAAACACTGCTGTTACATGATAATTTTCAAAGCTACCTAAGCAAAAGAGCCTAAAAGGCAGTCAATTTTCATTCCTAAGTGACCTAAAGCCTAAAATAAACCATCACATCTTAGAGGACAAAGTCACAATAAAGAAAAAAGAACACAAGAGGAGTGGTTTAATTTAAACTTAACATGATTTTATAAGAGCCTGTCATTGGGGAAAAAAAAACACCACCAAGAAAACCCACAACTGGACTTGGAGGTTCTGGTGGGTGAGAGTCTGGATATGCCCTGGCCACGTGCACTCACAGTCCAAAAACCAACTGTGTCCTGGGTTGCACCAAAAGCAGCGTGGGCAGCAGGTGAGGGGGGATTCTGCCCCTCTGCTATGCTCTGGTGAGACCCCATCTGCAGTGCTGCCTCCAGCATTGAGGTCCCAGTACAGGAAGGACATGGACCTGCTGGAACAAGTCCAGAGGAGGCCACTAAGTTGATCACAGGGCTGGAGCACCTCTCCTATGAAGACAGAGTTGGGGCTGTTCAGCCTTAAAAAGAGAAGGCTTTGGGGTGATATTATAGCAGCCTTCCAGTAACTAAAGGGGGCCTACAGGAAAGATGAAGAGGGACTTGTTATCAGGGAGTATAGTGTTAGGATATGGGGTAATGGTTTTAGACTAACAGAGGGCAGGGTTAGATTGGATACTGGGAAGAAATTCTTCCCTGTGAGGGTGGTGAGGCCCTGGCACAGGTTGCCCAGAGAAGCTATGGCTGTCCCATCCCTGGAAGTGTTCAAGGTCAGGTTGGACAGGGTTTGGAGCAACCTGGTATAGTGGAAGGTGTCCTTGCCCACGTCAGAGGGTGGAATGAGATGAGCTTTAAGGTCCCTTCCAACCCAAACCATTCTGGGATTTTGTTTATAGTGGAAGATATTCAGATTCTCTTTTGTACCTGGGTGTTTGGAGGTGTATGCGTGTATGTTGAGGTTGGGAAAAGATACACCACCTTACAAACAAGATCCTACTTTGGAAGGCATTAATCTGCTGTTTGATATCAGCTTCTGACAGAAGTTTTGAATCTGCTTTCCACTTGATTGTATACACAGAGCAATTTTCTATCTTTAGTTTTGCTATTTAAGGCAATCTAGTATGAAAAGGTTTGCCAGATGGTGCTTTTACTAAAGACTTTCTGAAACAAAAACCTTTCATGTGTTTACATATAAAAAGCTATGACTTTTTCCAATTTTATGCTTACTGGGCTAGAAGAGAGGCAAGGCAACCATAGACTGAAGGGGTATACATATTTCCATTCTGATTGGATACAAGTAATGAAGCTTTGGTTTTCTGATTGAAGAGCTCTGCACTGGCTTTCATAAATGCTTTTTCCACATCTCTGTCAAAATATGTATCTTCAAGTTTTACATCCCTATTAAAAAAAACTTTAGAAACTTATTAAAATGGCAGCAAGGAAAAACTACCTTGGATGTTTAAGAAATTAAGACTACCTGAATAATAAGGAAGAAAGCAGCCATTCTTACCTGAAAGCTTCCAAACCACTGAAAACACTATTTGCTGTTTCTGGGTTCTGGTCACTGAGAAAGTCATTCAGCAATAGTCTAGCCACAGATTTCTGTACCAGTTTACAGTAGGGTGAATGAAAGATCATGAATCCAAAGTCATTCAAGGTGAAACGTCTGTCTGTCCCCTCTAGAAGCGGCAGAAATGTGTTACAACTTAAATTTAATATTCACTTGAAGTATTAAAATAAAATGGGGGATGGCAAGATACCAGTCATCATAGTACATCAGCATACAAAAGACAACCACAAGACTAACTATTGCTTGCAAGTTTGTTTAACACACTGTTACTACTTCTATTCAAAAAATAGTTTCTTACTCATCCCGTGCACCATCTAGCAATGTTTGTCCTTTTTCTTCTAGAAAAAAAAAAGTTATAAGCTTAACAGAATCTCAATATTTCTACACAGCATTTTGAAATAAAGAAATAGCCTACTTCATTAAGGTTGGAAAAGACCTCCAAGACCATTGAGTCCAACCTGTGACCTATCCCCACCTTGCCAAATAGACCAGAGCACTGAGTGCCACATCCAGTCATTCGTTGAACACCTCCAGGGATGGGGACTCCACCACCTCCCTGGGCAGCCCCTTCCTATGCCTTACAACACTTTCCATACAGGAATTCCTCTTGATGTCCAACCTGAACCTCCCTTGGAACAGTTTGAGGCCATTTCCTCTTATCCTCTCCCTTGTTCCCTGGGAGCAAAACTCGACCCCCACCTGGTTCCACTCTCCTGTCAGGGAGTGAGAAGGTCCCCTCTAAGCCTCCTTTTCTCCAGGCTAAACACCCCCAGCTCCCTCAGCTGCTCCTCATAGGACTTGTGCTCCAGACCCTTCACCAGCTTTGTTGCCCTTCTCTGGACATGCTCCAGTACCTCAATGTCTTTCTTGAAGTGAGTGGCCCAGAACTGAACACTCACCAGTGTCAAATAGAGGGACAATCACTTCCCTAGTCCTTCACCTTATTAAACCTCACTGTTGGCCTTGGCCCATTGATCCAGCCTGTCCAGATCCCTCTACACAGCCTTCCTGCCCTCCAGCAGATCAACATTCCCACCCAACTTAGTGTCATCTGTGAACTTACTGAGGGTGCACCCGATCCCCTTGTCCAGGTCATTGATAAAGATATTGAACAGAACTGGTCCCAATACTGAGTCCCTGGGGAACCCCACTGGTGACCGGTCACCAACTGGATGCAGCACCATTCCCCACCACTCTAGCCCTGCCATCCAGAGTTCTTAACCCAGCAAAGAGTGCATCTGTCCAAGTCGTGGGTTGCAGAATTTTGAGGAGAATGCTGTGGGAGATGGTGTCAAAGGCCTTATTAGAGTCCATGTAGATACATCCACAGCCTTTCCCTCATCCATCATGCAGGTCACCTGGTCATAGAAGGAGATCAGGTTGATCAGGCAGGACCTGCCTGTCCTAAACCCATGTTGGTTGGGTCTGATCCTCTGGTTGTCCTGTATGTGCCACGTGATCACACTCAAGATGATCTGCTCCATGACCTTGCCAGGCACCGAGGTCAGGTTGACAGGCCTGGAGTTCCACGGATCCTCCTTCCAGCCCTTCTTGTGGATGGGTGTCACATTAGCCAACCTCCAGTCATCTGGGACCTCCCCAGTTGGTCAGGACTGATGATAAATGATGGAGAGTGGCTTGGTGAGCTCTTCCACCAGCTCCCTCAGTACCCTCGGGTGAATCCCATCTGGTCCCACAGACTTATGTCTCGGTAGCTCAGCAGGTCACCAACTGCTTCCTCCTGGATTACAGGGGGTCTATTCTGCTCCCCATCTACTGGCTCAGGGGGCTAGTTGCCCTAAGGATAATGGGTCTTCCTGTTAAAGACTGAGGCAAAGAAGGTGTTAAGTACCTCAGCCTTTTTCCTCATCCTTGGTGACAATGTCCAATAAAGGATGGAGATTTTCTTTGCCCCTCCTTTTGTTGTTGATGTATTTATAAAAACAGTTTGTTGTCTTTCACAGCAGTGGTCACACTGAGTTCTGCTGAGCTTTCAGCTCTCTAATTTTCTTTCTACGTGACCTAACAACATCCTTGTACTCTTCCTGAGCTGCCTTGACCCTTCTTCCAAAGATCATCAACTCTTTTTTTTACCCCAGAGTTCCAGCCAAAGCTCCCTGTTTAGTCAGGTCAGTCTTCTTCCCTGCCAGCTTGTTTTTTGGTATGTAGGGACAGTCTGCACTTTTAAGATTTCCAACTAACTATCTAATCTTCAAACCTATACTTCTTAATAAAGGTGAACCAATTACTAAACATATGGAGGAAAAAAAAAAATCAGTATCCTTATATGACAAGTAAATATTACCTCAATATCTTAAGAGCCTTGGTAGAGGAAGGAACAACACACTTCAGATATTATACATTACACCAACAAAAGCCCGTAGAAACTACTGCTTAATGACTATTAAGTACTTAGCCATAGCCAAACAGAAATAAGACATTTCTTTATGGAAAAGCACAAACAGTTCAATTGTCTCAGAGCGCACAAACACAAAGAAAGGGACCATGTACTAGTCTTTAGATTGGATGCTAAAACTAGAAAAGATGTTATCTGTGTAGCTACACATTCCAATATTTACCAGATCTTGCAATGTCAGGTGAGGTTACATACCTTTTTGCCACTGGGCATGGATTTTGTTGCGATAGACATTATAGCAGTGATCTAATGCACTGAGGTAGCACTGTATAGATAATTTACCATCAACCACAGGATATTCAGAGACCATATTTGGTTTATAGAAGTCATACGCATGCTGCATGTGGGTTCCACGCAACCCTGATGGAGAGAAATTGACAAAAACTGAGAAGTATTCAGTTACTTTGAGTCAGTTTGAACATATTGCTTAGCACATGGAAAACAAGTAATATATGGTATCAGTCAAGCAGGTTTTCATAGCACTCCAGGTCCTTTAAGTTAATGTTTCACAGTTCTCAGTCACCTGTTACTCAAGTACAGTAGGACTGAGTATGACAAACAAGTAACAAATGATTTTCATCATTTCACCTTAAAAGTAGAATGCTGGTTTTCATCTCTAGTCCACTCTGTCAATTCCATTGGAGAATTCCCAAGGAAAAAACAGATAGAAGCATCTTTAGCTGTTTCTTGCTGTCTCCTATAAAAGGACTTGGCTAAGTCAGCTCAGAACCAGAGGAGACAAAGTATAATTTCTGATATTAGTGGAAGTTAATCCAGCCCTCTAGCAACCCATGAAAACAGGGGATGGGCTCCAGAAGAGATCCAGTATCTGTCTGAGCGGTATTTGTTTTCTCATAGGACTAACCTCTCTCAAAACTTAAGGGAGCATTTGGACCAACTAACATAGCAACAGCACCAGCTCCACCTGTTGGCCTGGCATTTCCAGTGGCATACACAGCTATGTCTCCAGCAACAACAAGTGCATAACGTCCTGTGAAAAATACAGAAATAAGAATTAAAAGTAGCTAAGAACCTAGTACATTTTAATATCCATCAGTAATTTTTAGACTTTGGTTATAGAGGAGATGACTCCAGGATTAAGGGACTCTTCAATCCTGGCAGCCACCAGAAGTTACAGAAAGAGACCATTCATGATTATTCACCTCATTATTTTTTGCATGTAACCGAACTGGTGAAAAATGTCCAGAGCGTTTAAGAAAAAGACTTCAGAAGCATACAAGAATTTACCCTCTGGGTCTTACATGGTTAAACACAAACTCTGTAATTGCAAGGCAGACTACTCAAAAATAGGGATTGATGTAATTTAAAAAAAAAAAAATAATACCCTGAACTTACCATCCCAAGAACTGGACTCAATCCAATTAATAGCATTAAAAAGAGCAGCAGTGCCTCCGTAGCATGCATTCATAGTGTCAATTCCTTCTACATCCATATTACCAGATTCTTCGAAAAGTTGCATCAGGACAGTCTTTACAGATTTTGATTTATCAATTATTGTCTCTGTTCCAACTTCTAATCTCCCAATACAATCATAGGAAAGGTTATTCCTTTCCATGAGCTTCTGAACAACAGTTAAACAGAGAGAATTGATATCCTCCCGGTCAGAGCAGAACCCCATCTTTGACTGGCCTAGCCCAATTGTGTATTTGCCAGCATTGACACCATCATACTTCTCCAGCTCTGTCTGGTCAACGTACTGAGAAGGAAAATATATTTCCAGTGCAATAATTCCCACATCTTTGGGTCAGCAGGACTCAGCATTCACTGGAAGAGACCCAGGCATCGTGGTAGATCTTTAAGAAAAAAAAAACACAACAACAACAAAAAACAAACAAACAAAAAAAACCAAATAAAAAAACCCAAACCCCTGATGATTTATTCACATCCATTTCTAGAGACCTACTTCATATATTATTTAATTTTCTGTAGATTTATAGAAAAGGTTAAGTTTTAGGTATTATAGAAGTTCATTTGCAAAAAGCAAGCCTTTGCCTCCAGGTGAAATTTTGGTCTAAGCATGTTATAAACACCATTAGAAGCTTTAGAACATTTTATATTAAGAAGTTCTTTTAAGTAAAAGTACAATTTTAGCCCTGGAGATGAATATACGAAGCTTAAGTTCAAATTATTTCACTGAAGCAACACACATGCCTAACAAATATTAAGTGTTTAAGGAATTAGTCTTAATGATCATTATGCTACTTTTGCTTATATGCAAAGTCTCAATTTTACACAACCCAGATGGAAACAATGGGTTGGTGTGGTTGGTTTTTTAAATGTTGCTAGTTGAGACATTAAGTTTAAAGTTCATACTTACCAGGAAATCTTCACCTTAAAACAGAGTAGGACTCTCCAAAATTGTTATTTTTAAACTAAGTGGTCTAACTTGTTTCATTTTGTTTATACTTGCAACAAAGATAGAAGATTTTGGTATTTTTGGTTGGGTTTTTTTGTTTGTTCATTTGGATTTTTTTTAAGCATACTGTTTTGGTGTTCCTGAACAATGAAACTCCTAACGTCAGGCTTGGAGGGATATTCTCCCCAATAGATCAAGTTTTAACCCTCTAACTATACTGTCACTATACTCTAAAATATAATATATCCTATTACTTTAACCCCATCTGTATTACACAGACAGGCATCATCTTCATGAACATTTGCCTACATCCTTACAGAACACTTGTCCCTTTTGTGCCCAGCTGTACCGTCACACTGACCTTACCCAGGTTCTTCCATAAAAATCCCAGTGAGCTGTATAAAAAAATAAAGCCTTTCTAAGCAGAAACGACTTTACACAATGCATGGTAAAATAAGTGTTAGGAAAACATTAGAAGTGCCTTCTGCTACATATGCGGTTAAATGTCAGTCTTAGGTAAGACCTAAAGTAAGAGTACATGGCTAGCCATTCATTTTGATTGCATCTAACAAATTTTCAAAAACATACCTATGATGCACCTTAAATAATCCATTTAAAAATATTTCATTAATAGCATTTATTCACAGCAAAACATGTAAATTGCAGAAGGCTGCTATTTAAAACTGATTACTGGAGTGCTGCAGAACAGTTGTACAATGTATTGCTGTTGAAATGAGGTACCATGAGAAGGTTAAATATTCACTGAAGTATAGTGCAAGATAAATAAAAGAACTTATGAAAAATGAGGGAATAATCAAACCTGCAGGAACCAAGAGCCATGACCCAAAAAGTAAGAACAGGAGGTCACTATAAATCAAACTACAAAGAAAACAAAGCTGTTGATAAAACCAAAGAAGAACTTTGCTTGAACTTTGTGCCATCCTTAGTCATTAACATAGCAAAATCCCCGCCCAGCAACTGTAATCGCCCCTTACTCACATAAACTCCTTCCCCTGGAGCATGCGCAATAAAATAAGTGTGCACTGTACCTTTAAATGGAAACGAGAATGCAGAGCTAATGACTAGGGCTTGAGGTTGTTAGGTATACGGGAAACGTCAATTTTTTTATTGTTCGAAGTGTACGAAAATGAGCACTTAGCACACTGAATGTATGCCAACTTTATAGATTTACCACCTAGCACCTCTCTCTGTACAAATATGAAATAAAATTAAATATCTCGACTCTGAGTGTGGATCGGCTTCTTGCCGAGCGAGCGGGTGAAAGAACCCAAATTTGGGACAACACTGCCACAAGATTTCAAGCAAGAAAACCAATTTCTTTTTATTTGTGTGCTCTGCTGCCACCCCAGGCTCACGATTTCGTATCCGCTCACCCGAAACGCGCAGTACCCGCAAACGCCCCACAACAACATCTGGATAAAACCGAGCGTCGCGACTGACCGGAACTCCTTTTTTCTTAATCCATCCCGTTGCGAAGCCCCTCAGCTCAGATGATCGCTCCACGGCCTGCAGTGCCCGGCCGAGGGCCTGCCATTCCACTTCCACCGCCGAGCCGGCCCCACGACGCTGCTAAGGACGCCGAAGGCGCCCCCATGCCTCAAGGTTACCCGTTACCCAGCCAGGAAGGCTGCGAGGAGCGACCGGGGTTCAGCGTGTCGCGCCTTAATCCGGAGTTCCAAACCCGACTCTCGGCGCGGAGGAGCGCGCATGCGCGTGTTATGACGTCGGCTCGAGCAGCACGCAGGCACGGGAAGCCACTTTTCCCCAGGCGGAGCTCCGGCCGTGCTGGCTCGGCCCAGCTCACACCCCCGCGTGGCCGGGGAAAAGGCAGAGCGTTCATCTGCGGACTCCCCCCATTCTAACGGGGTCCCTCGAGGTGAGGACTAAGTTGTTGTTTTAAGCATCTTGCACAATAAACCCAGCAGCACCATCATGGAAACAAACCCAATAAAGACTTAAAATAAAACCCACTATCATCCAAAATTCCTGGTTTTGACAGTCCCTGACCACAGACTACCCTATCCTGCAGGCACATCACCTCTATTAACATTTAATTTTTAAAGTTTCTCAAATGCTTCTAAGTTTCATCTTCTTGCACACCATGGCAGTAAAGGCAAACAGTACCATCACTTTTAAAATTAGCTGGACTAACAAAAAAAATATATTAAAAAAAGCAAGGAAGACAGAATAATATCTGCCTCCAAGAAGCTGACCCTGGTAGGCAGAATTAAGGGTTTCTTATAGCACACAGAGCAACAGTCACAGCTTTCCTGAAGCCACAGCCAGGGAAGGGAACATGGTGGCCTGGAGGCCCCTCACTAGCTGCTAGGGCAAGTTCACATCTCCTCTCACCACAACAACTAGCAAGTTACACACCTCCTGGAGACAAGGAGCAGCACTGAGCTTCAGACTCAGCTCCAAGAGCTGCATTTTACCCCAAATCTGCACAGGCACTGCAAGAGGAAAATGAGGGTGGTTTCCTGCTGTCTGTATGAATGCAGACACACTACTGACAGTGAGATTCCCAAGGTCCCAGCTGGGAAAGTGACTTTGGGGTCCAGCTCTTTGTGGCATAAAACACCTCCCTTTCTTTCTATTTCCTTTTTGTTAAAAGGAAATACAGACAGCTCCCAACAGGCTTCAAGCAGGTCCCAACTCAGCATGGTGTCTGGCAACCACCCTGAAATTCAGCCTTTTCCCCATAGCAGAGCTTGGTTCTGCTCCAAGAGCCAAAAAGATGAAAGTAAGAGGCTACTTAATTTTAATTAAGTTATATAGTAAAAGACAATGCATGACAACACATAATGGACTTGACCTGTAGCAGCCAAGAACAAGGGTGGATTTTAACGAGGCAGTGAATTATTAGAAATATGCCAAAAGGATTTGCATTATTGGTGAGGGATGAGGAAAACTCTTTTTGCTTGCTCATTACAGAACTTTGGGATCAAAAGTAGCATTTAATTAGATAAGATGTCATATGTCTCATCAAGTATTAAGTTAGTCATTACAGGTGGGGAAAAAGTATTTATTTGATGCAAAACAATCAGCCTTTTGTCCTCTTGGTCAAACTATAAACAAAATCCCATTGCTGAGTTTTTACTGAAAATGAAAGAGTACTCAGTACTATTCCTTTTAAAACACCAAAAACTCAAAATGCTATATATTAAAGAAATTAAAAGCCTGCTTTTTTATGTCCCCTTAAGATTCTGTAAGGTACGATGAGCAGCCCTTTCTGCAAGTGCTTCCAGATACCAGAAATATGTTTTCCCACAACTGGTAGTTTTTGTTATCTGTAAGAATTTGAGACTAATCTGTCAATAATTTGACTTCATTGTTTCCCAAGTAAGTTTTTAAGTCATACAAAATACTTGACTGAAAGTTAAGAAATAAAACCCAAGTCTGTTTGCTATAAGTAATACATTTGGCTTTTTATATCTGGAGGAGTTGTAGAACAGACTTTGCTCATGAAAGTGAAAGCTGTTTTTCAGAAGTTAAACAGTGATGATCTGGTAGCTTCAGTTACAACACAATTTAAATAAATTCAGTTATTTCCACACAGCTAAAAGGCTTTTAAGTATCGAGTGCAAGTACATGCAAAACACTTGTCACATCACGAGAGGTCCTGGATTGCTGCAACTCGCCACGGCACGGACCATGTATGAACAGCACGGACCATGTATGAACGTGGCATCACCATGTCTTCAGCTCACCTTTGAGTCAAAAGAATGAAATTAAGTGAGAAACAAGCAAATAGCTTAAAACACCCACTAAACTGCACAAGGCAGCATCTTGAATGTATTCATAAAGATCTATCCAAAGTGTTTCTCCCACGGGGGTCAGCGTGCCGCAGGGATCCCAGGCACCCTCCCTCTGGGTTTAACCCCAAGCACATCCGAAACTGAGACTTCGTTAGCAACATGGGTGGGCTGGCAGGAAGCCCACACCTCTGCAACAAGTGCTATTACAAAAGAAAACGATGGTATCCCCGGGAGCAGCACGAGGTCGATCTTGTCCTAAGCGATAAAGGGGGTGGCACACCCACCTCGCCGTCACCGGCATGGGTGGGCGCCTCTGTCGCAACACAGAGGCGATTCAGCGACACGCCTAGGGCGCCGTCGATTTCAGGCTTCTTTAGGGACACTCCGCTGGCGGGGGAATAGCCTAGAGTAGGCCCGCAGCAACAGCCCACGGAACCTCACTGTGAGAAGCACTACAACTTCACTCAGCCGGAGTGCCTCCTTGAGAAGGGAAGGGGAGAGTGGGCAAGCACGCGAGACAGCACCCAGAGTCCTCCAACATCGGGGCTATGAAATCTTTCACGATGCATTTTGCCTCGTCAGTTACACTGGGCGAAAGTAGAACCGCACGTAGTGGCCACTGCTCGCTGGTGCTCCGGGCCATGGGTCGTAACAGCAGGCTGACACCTACCTTAAATGGCATTCAGAAACACCTTTCTTTCTTGCTGCACTGCAGACACCACAAGGGCGCTTACGTCCACTAAAAACACTGCTCCCAACTATGCCGACCTATACCCACGCCCCGCGGTGGCTCCGGCTTCAACTCCACGCGATACCGCAGCTCCACCACCACCACCTCCCCCCGCCCCGCACCGCTGCGGAGAGAGGCAGGAGACGCCGCCTGACCCAAGGGCTTCCAGGGGGCCGAGCCGTCCTCACCTATTCGAGGCGATAGCTCCCGGTGTCGCTTACCACTCCCCACTTTCACTCGCATGCACGAAGAGCACGGAGCGCAGCGGCTTTAAACAACCCCACCGCCCAGGCTTCGGCCTGCACCCTAAGCAGCAGCTCCCCCGGCCAGTCATAGCTGTCACCGCCCAGGTCCCGCCCGCCGGCCGGCCCACCCACAGCTAGCGGAGAAGGCGGAGGAAATGGTGTGAGAAAGTGATGCAGCGTGGCCAGAGAGCGGTGCGCCAATGAGGACGCGGCAGAGGCAGCGGGCGCTCAATGAGAGCCGAGCGCATCGCGGGGACAGCCAATGGGAGCGCGCTGCCGACCGCGGGTGAGAGTAGGATGGCTGTCAGTCCCCATCGAGGAGAGGAGGTAGTTGCCTGGCAACGGAAGGCGAGGCCCGCCCGGTCCTGGCAAGAGCCGCTCGTCTTGTCGCCTCGACCCCAACCCAGGGGGCCCCAGCGCTGTCCAAGACTGGAGCCGGGCGCGGAGAGTCGCGGATGGGGGACTGGGAAGCAGCAGAGGTGGGTCGAGAGGATCAATGGGGTTGTTGGGGCTGCCGAGGCCGTGACACGCAGGCCAGGGCGGGCAGGGGTCTGCGGGGGCGGGCAGGGCGCCCACTGCCACCCGGTGCTGCAGCCTGTGACATCTCCCATGCCTATAAAACCTAC